GGTTTCATACTTTGATAAGAAATCTGCTCTAAACATACATAAGGATTAAGATGTCTTAGCCTCAAAGAATTATTTAGTTCCCTGTTTACTGTAATCTACATTAAATATTGTCACATGACAAATATTGAACTGATCTTTGTTGAGTGGGATTAAGGTTTGACACTTTTGTACCTAGGAGGTCACAACAAAGTGCTGGATTCTCACATATCTTTGCTGCTTTCAAGAAATATGTTTAAAAAATTACATTTGTCTCAAAAAACTCTCTGCATTGCCATCATAAACCTGTAGGAGTGCTTAGGAAAGCCAGGCTTAGACTGAAAAGCAGATGGGTGTCATTCACAGATTCCTGTTTGCCATTTTCCCCCCAAACCCAACTATGAAGACCACTTCAAGTACGTTTCTATAAAATAAAGTGCTAGATTGCTAAAGCTAATTTTCAGGCTAACTGTCATGTCAGTTCTTCAAGCTTTCCTACAAGCTGTCAACTGACCAGCAGGTGGCAGTAATCAAACATGAGAAAAACACCAAAGGTGCTGTAGCCAAACCCTGTTTAAATGTGTTGAACCTTCTCCACTGGAAAAAAGCACAGGCCTATCTGGTGTGACTATTACCCAGATTTGATGCAGATTATTGAGATTATCACACGCTGTGAGCATCCCAGAATAAAACTACTAGCTGTGCCTTTTAACAACCCACAATTGCAATTTCACATTCATTGTTTTCTATCTATTCTTTTGTGTGTGTGTGTGTGTGTGTGTGTGTATGAGTGTGTTTTTATATCTATGTCAGTTCAGGTGCAATTAAATGTCATGCATTTGTGCAGGATAATTGAGTATCAAAACCACCGGGGGATTACCAGATTATGATAGACAACCCGCTCAGGTCCCAGACAGGGACATCCTGCTGGTCACGGATGTGTGCGCAGTGTGGATAGACATGAGATGGCACGCTCATGGCTGTGACCTTCATGGTGGCTTGCTCCTCTCTCCGGCACTGATTTCTGATTTACCGTTGAGCTGCCACTCCTGTCAGGGCCTATAGGGTGCTTTCCATGCTCACACAGAGGAACTCAAGGGCAAGTATAGGCAGGCGAAGCTGGCAGACTACAGGAAAAAGGTGAGGGAGCGTTTCTGAGAAGGAGCACAGGCCTTTGTATTCTTAAGGTTGGAGGAAGACTAACATAAAGGGTTCCTTGGAGATGGTTCCTTGCAGTGCACTCTCAGAAAAAGGTACCAAACTGTCACTAGGGTGTTGCACTCAGGGGTACATCTACAGTACTTTTAGTTAGGGAACATAATCATGCCTTTTTTCATTTCTATTGACTCCACACACTCCAGGCCCAGAGAAAAAGCCTTTCTCCAGCCTTTTTATTTTATTGTCCTGTTTTAGAACATTAGGTGAAGAAAATGTACCTTTGCCCTGGGTAAAACCTATTTAAGGTACAAAGATGGATCTTAAAACCACTGCTGTACCTTTGAAGGTATATTTACATAGTTTGTACCCTGAGGAATGGAAAATATTCCTGCACAGTACCTTTTGTCTGACAGTCTGGACCCAACCTTTCAATGGATGGTCCATCTCATTTTTGTAAAGTGGATAGTTGGGAGTTAATTTACCTTCTGTTTGCCCCACAGGTTCACTTGTGTAAATAACTGAAAAGCAAAGTTTCTAATAACTGCTACTGTACAAACACTGAACCACAGTTGCTTCACTTAAAGCAGGGATGTCCCCATCCAGTCGTGGAGGCCCACAGAGGAGCACAATTTAGCATGCTCCCCTGCTCTACCACACCTGATTCAACTAATTAGGGGCTTGGTAATTAGCTGATAAGTTGAATGAGGTATCTCAGAGTCAGCAAAGCACAAAATAGAGCAGGACTGTGGCTTATTATATCCCAAAATGCTCACCATCTCTTGTGAATCAATGCTGCAATCAACAATTCTGACAGACCCCAATCTACTGACATCTCACAATCATCTGATTATCATGCGATGTTTACCATACATTTGGCACGATGCAGCAAATAAGAACTGCGCCTCTGAAGGGAGCGCGCGAGCACAGGAGGTAGAGGGAGTCTGGCCCTCTCCGAGCAGATGCTGAGGCTGATGATGATGGATGTGTAAGCGGAGGTTGTGCAGGGACCAAGGGAGCCTCCTGCAGGCCCAGCACATTCTGTTGTTTCATGAGATCTCATCCACTAATTCTCTGAGACAATTAACTTCATATGGAGAGAGAGAGAGAGAGAGAGAGTATCCTAAAATCAAGCATATTATTTTCTCTTTGTGGATTTTTGTGTAAAGCTTGCTTTGTACGCTTCATATGCTGTACAGTATTGTGCAAAATTCAGAGACCATCTTAATTTATTTCACTCTTCAATTTCCAGTCAAAATGGCCATTAGTTACAAGTTATTATTCATTTTTCAGAAGATATTTCTGAGGAGATTGGATATGATAATTTACTTGTACAAAGAGGGGGAGAGTCAAACGAAAATACGTTTTAAAAAAATTAATTGCCAAAAGTGTAATAAATTATTAAGAATATAGAGATGATTCTTAACTCCTAAATACTGTGCAAGACCTGTTAGACCACCAGAACTGTCCCCATCAGATAAACAGTACTTACAGCTTCCATCTTTGAAATATAGCAGAAAATCTCCACTCTTGCTTCAGATCTAAAAAAAAATAAAATAATAAATAAAATAAAAAAAATAACAGGTGTTTCTGTTCATCTTCCACGGTGAGATGACAACTCACTTGAGTCCAAAAGGATGTGTAGCTATCAAGAAGCCGTTACTGACAAAGTACATAAACAAAGAGAAAAATTTGCAAACCAAAAAAGGAGCTGCTGGTATACTCAGAACAGTGAACTGACCACCCCAGAGTCCAGACCTCAACATCACTGAATGTGTTTGGGATTATTTGGTTTGCAAAAAGCAGAAAATGAAACCAGCTTCTAAGACTGAACTTTGGAGGTATGAGAAACATCTCTGCAGATTTTTTTGAAAAGCTTAAAGCAGAATAATAATAACATAGAAGAATAACATAGAAGAATAACATGTGCATGGCTGTTTGAAATGAAATAAATGCTGGGTGGTCTCTGCCTGTGCCTCTGTTTTTGTACTGTGGCATTGAAAAGGTGTGAGAAGGGGCGACATTTTCCTGTATTTTTATTTTTTCAGCTTTATTTATGCACACTACGTAGTAATGTAGTACAATTTATTAATCACTTGTCATTTGCGCTTAGCTGTTCTCACTCAGTATTATTATTACATTTGAAGCATTTAATAAACCGACTTATCGGTTGATGGCGAGCCTCTTTTGACTTCCGGACTCCCTTTCTAGATGCATTTACACACCAACTGACCATTATTGCCTTGCTGGTGGGACAAAGCAGATATTTGTGGCCTCTAAAGCCTCCCCAATGGCAACTGCTTGAAAGCACACAAAGGGTGCAGGAGCAAAACATGTCTGTGATTACTCGCTAATTGGTTCCAATCCTGCTCCATCCCATGTGGACAAAAAGGCATCTCCACTGGTTGTCAATCACTAGATCTCTGTGTTCTCAGAGTTATGCCATGGCACCCTTGAGAGTGCTCTGGATGAGAGAGTGAGAGAGAGTGAGCACACAGGCTTTAGGGATTATTTTGCCAACACTACAGAGAGATGTGAATATAGCTGTATAACATATTACCTGATGCATCTTCTTTTGGCAGTCTTCAAGGAATCCTTCGATATGCAGGCAATTTTCAAAATTTGCTTTTCTTATCTTTTGAAAAATACCATCACATCTAGCTATCTTTTATAGTTGATTGCTTCTTTGAGGGATGCCTTATAAAGATAAAGGACCATGATGCTTAGTCTTTAAAAAAAAGATTCCTAAATTGTTCTTTGCTTGGAAGTTTGGTTCAAGAAAAAACCTTAAACTGGTGTAGAACCTTTACATCATGTGGAGGTTCAGTTTTTAAAAGGTTCTTTACACTCGCACCTCTTATTTACCAAAGATCTAGTCAATGAAAAACATCTTAGGGAACCAAAAGTGGTTCTTCTACAGAAATGCTCCAAGGAACACTGTGTTTTTAAGAGAGTCAATGTCTCTCGGCTCATAATTGCCAATAAACATCCAAGAATGAGCTTCAGGATATGGGGCTTCACCCATGCAAGAGGGCTGACGAACGCAATAGTGGAGCAGATATCAGCCAAAATATTTACATTCCCTGTGACACACTGAGCAAGCCTGGGAGACATCATGCCAGACAACATAAAGGCATGAGTCCTTAGCACATGTAGCACATTATGACAGTCGATACTAGAAGAGAGGATGTGCCTGAAGGTGCTACTTCTACTGGTCAACTAACAGAAATGTTCATTCTGCACATCTATGAAAATGACCATTAAAGACAAGGGTTTTCATAGTGGTCAGTTTGACGCCCCATCGTTATTTTTCCATTGTTACATTTCTCAAACACACTCTCTATATGCTCTTCTAGGCAAAGATGGACTCTTCTCATGTTGGACGTTACTGAAAATGATTTTATTCACCCATTTTTACAATAAATCGATATAAACCTGCCCAGGTGTGTTGCATTTGGTAGGATAAACGCTTAAGAAAGAAAGAAAACAAACGAACCAACCCAAAAACCAAAAACACATTTCAGTAATAAGCACATACAGGAAGTCAAAACATATCACAAACAGACCAGCAGGTAACAAGAATGCTTTTATCTACACAAACATCCTATTCAAGTTCATTTTGCTTTATGTAAACTCCCCCTCGGTGTTCCTCGCCAATGGACATGCAGCTGAACCGGATTTGGTGGAGAATTTGCTCATAATACATCTTTATTCGCCTGTACAAAACCGGGAGAACCAACCCACATGTGCCCCATGCTTTAAACCAACCGTGGCATGCAGTACAGGAGGCTGCCTTGGACAGATATCAGACTCAGTGGTCAGAAATAGCTGTGAATAAGTTGATTGCTGCAAGAATAGAGAGAGTCATGGATAAATAAATAAATAAATAAATAAATAAATAAGGACAAGATACACAACTGACTCATAAATAAAGGTAGGGTGGACTGAGGTACTGTGGGCCATTTGCTCAGCAGGGACATTGTGTTATTTGGCCATATGAGACATCAGGGCTGAATGAAAAAGCCATTCTTTTATTTACTTTCCCATTAAAAGAAATTAGCCTATTTACAGACATGATTGTTGCTCATTTAGAAAGAATGTGCCAGAAATGTATGAGCTGAAATTAGAATAAATGGGAGACCCCTGGTCACCCGATGGCCCAGAATACCTGAACTTCCAGCCTTTTTCCAAATGGGGTCACTGCAATTAAAAAGAAATAAATAAATGTATAAAAGGTTTGCTTTTTTAACATTAAAAAGTAAACTAACCTGGCTGTCTTGAAATGTAGACTTAAATTTAGAAGAATACCTTTATGTTAACTGCTATCAGAGGTGAAGGCAGCCTGGTTACTCACTGCTGAATAAAGTTAGAACAGCGAATCTTGTTAAGGGTTGTGCGAACCTGTTCTTTATTCTGCTGAAATTTCCACTCCATTCTCCCTTTAAGGCTGCCAATTGTAATTGCCCACAGTTACCCCCTCCCCAAAACCCACCCCTCCGCTCCTGAGTGCTCATCCACTGTTCTCAACTACTCGTTGGGGTCTTTCTCTCTTTTTCTTTTTTCTTTCTTTTTTTTTGCGAGGAACTCTTTTTTTCTTAATTATCATCTTTTCTTTTGTCCCGTTAGGTGAAGCTCATGGACACCGTGTGCTCGAGCGCTTTGCGGCGCAGTGAGGCGATACTGGTCCCTCTCCACACGTCACTGTCCGGCGAGCTGCACAGCTGGGGCGAGCCGCTCACGTTGGTCGGACCGGAGAGGGAGGCGGGCACCATGCCGGGGAAGGTGGGCTGGTACAGGTGCGACTGCAGCCCGGAGCCGTTGGACTGTAAGCCGTTGGAAAGGCCCATGGAGTTTGGGGGCGGCCCTGCTCCCAGGCTGCACTGCGACAGCGACTGCGCCATGGCCTGCTGGCGGCCCAAAGAGGGCGGCAGCTGCAGCTGGGAGACCCCCGGCATGCCGGCCGCCGCCGCCCAGCGCGTGTCGTTGGCGTGGAAGGAGCACAGGCCGTCCCCCATGGCGGCGGCGGCGGCCGCGGCGGACGGGAACTGCGGCAGGCTGTGGGTGGGCAACAGCGTGCCGGGCGCGCGGAACACGTTGGTGGTCTTCTTGCGCTTCTTCCATTTGGCGCGGCGGTTCTGGAACCAGACCTGAAGAAATTTGGGAAAATAAAAGGAAAACACGGCGTTAAAGCTTTAAACAGGGACAAAAATAATGTGTTGTTTACTTGCCTCTAAAGTTTGGAGCTCATTGAACATCATAACAATAATCGTACTTTCTGTTCACTTATTTGAAGTTTAAAATTATAGACAGTCTGGTTACCATTTTTACAGTGTATGTTATCCCAACTTTCATTATTCATTTCATTATTATATTTTAAATTGTGTCCAAAAATTATAGTAATTAAGACACTGCATCCTTGAAAAAATCTGCATTTTATATAATAATAATACCAGCATAATCTCACAATCGTAAAAATGGTTAAAATTAGAGAAAACCAGAAACACTAACATGATCATTTGCCTCGCATTCCAGCACCTCAGTTTTATTCTACAGCCTTTAAAACATTCTTTACCCTCGATGGTTTTAAACGTGTTTATTTCAGCGCTGACCCTCTGTAAACAGGTTTTTGTTTTTAGTGATGCATTGCTATCATATCTGATCCTCTTTGTTTCTAAACTGACAGCCGGGCTATCATTAATGTGCGCGTGCAAGACGCAGAACTGAAGCTGGTCACGGTCAGAAACGCGATTTCTTAATAAAACCTGAAGAATAATATTTGGGCTGGAATGAAGCCGTTATGGCTGAAAGGCCATTCTCAGAGACAAATGGTCGGCTGGCCTCGGTGCTTTATCACCTGCACTGAGAATGAATTCATAACGCGCGCGTGCTGAATTCAACATCTATTTTTCCTTCTTCCTTCTGTGGAAAATAGCATCTGATATTTAAAGCGCCGCGCGCTCTGCTCTGACGGATGATGATCGTCGCGCTCAGCTGAATGAATCGCGCAGCATCATCTGGTGAATAATTGGCGTCAGTCGGACTGACTGCTAACCGCCCCGAATCGTTATGGCTAATGCAATATTTGGTTAATGATGATGCGGTTAATTATGAAATTGCGTAATAAAGTAATTAAGTAAATTATGAAAATATTTTGCAAAGACATTTTAATGTGAATTCAAATCGAGGAGCATTTTGTAGGCTAATAGAAAATGTCAGGCACGTCAAAACAATGATAGATAAAAAAAAAGGAAATAAAAGAAATGAGAAGAAAAGAAAAAAAGAAAAGAAAAGAAAAGAAAAGGAAAAACTGATTATAAATGGGAAAAGTAAACTCGTCCTGGTAGTCAGCACCACGGACAGCGATTTCACTTTTATAACCTGATCAGATTTGCAATAATATTAGTGTAAAAAATGATTTTTGTGATCCTAACTTTTCATCTTTTGTCACGTCCTTATAGACACACCAGTGTGTTTGGTTAATATTATAACAGTCTTTTTATTGATGGTGACTATTTGAGCACCAGCGCATTCATGAGTTTGAGTAAAAAATGTAGCTTTTATTTTGAAAAATTAGAAAATAAAAGTAAGGAGAAAATTTAACTTTTGTAATTTCCTTTTTTTTATTTACTTTTTTCTTAAATTAAAAATTATACATATATGAAACTGTTTATTTTCTTTGTTTTCTCCCTGATGTTCTTACTAATTCTCTGTAAGCGAGTCCACGCTTGAGCGACTGGACGCGGTCATCTCAGTTTGACGTGTTTATTAGCGAAAAGCGCTGGAATTCACCTCTGGCTATCGCGCTTCAGAAACTCTGCGGTTGTTATTTTTTTGTTGTTGATGTTGTTGATGATCTCCTCACCTGCACGCGGGACTCAGTTAATCCGATCCTGAGCGCCAGTTCCTCCCTCATGAAGATGTCCGGGTAGTGGGTTTTTGCAAAGCTCCGCTCCAGCTCGTTAAGCTGCGCCGGAGTAAAGCGGGTCCTGTGGCGTTTCTGTTTCTGCTGGCTCTGCTGTCCTCCAGCCTGAGCCGAGCTCTGCTGCTGCTGCTGCTGCTGTTTGTCCTGCTCTTTGGCGCCGACCTGCTGCAAGCCGTTGGGGTTCGATCCGCCATTGCTTATGTCTTCCCCGGGGAGAAGGGTGGTCCCCTCTACCGCGTCGGCGCCGGAGCTCAGGTCTCCGGGATGGCCGGTGTCTGCGCCGCCGAGCCGGCACTTCAAAGCGTCCCTGTGGCCGAGCAGCTCGACCGCGGCGTCCTTCATCCCTGCGGAAGCATCGGGCGAGAGAAATTAAGCTTTTCCATCTGACGAGGAGAACTGCAAACATTTAGTCAGTTCCAGCATCAACATCAACATCAGGACAGCACAGAAAAAACAAAACAAGTTTTTTACTGCGGAACTACAGGCCTACACGATCTTCCCCATTTAAGCTGTCTACATCAACACAAGTTAAAACTCCATCCCGTTAAGTCATGACTGCATTCTATCAATATTTAGACAGGTTGATGAAACGGGCTAGATGTAATTAATTCAGCAGATAATGAATTACAATATCAAGTCGTTTGGAGTTCAAAATTAGATTACGAATTAAGTCCACATCAATTCATAATTGTATAGATTGAAAGTTCCTCTAGCTTACAGTGGAGCTGGAGACCGGAGTTGGGTGGCGATAACTCACCGAGGCGAGCATCCAGGAGGTCGGCGTGAGAGAGCATGGCGCAGCGCTCCTGCTAGCCCTAAAACTTTTAACTCCCTTTAAAAAAGCATATAGTGGGCAAATGAAGAAAAATTCGCCGTGTGTTTAAAAAACAGGAGGCTCCCAGCATTATAATGTTCTTTAGAGAGACAGGGAGGCGCTTAATAGTTGGATGAACCCATGAGCTTCTTCAGATGAGAGCCAATCAGAGCTTGAAGCCTGGAAATGGCCGCAACCAACCAGCGGGCATCCACAAAGCAGCTCCATCTGCAATTACTGTCTCCTTAATAGCGCGGCTGATTTATTGTATCAGCCCCTTATTATAGGCGATAAATGACTTCATAATCATAGCACACAAACAGTTTATAATAAATCTAGTTCTGCTAGGAAAACGTTGTAGGGCGCGTTTAGCGCGCGCCAAGCTACAAAATAACAATAATACAAAGCAAAAACATATATATATCCACGTAAAGGCTACAGAGAGAGACAGAGAGAAAGGGGAACGGACGGGTGATGAAGTCACAGTCCTGCTGGTGCGCTTTTTTTTTTTGTTCTGGGGGGAACAAATCGCTGCTTATTTTCAGGCAGAGCAGAAAGTAAAAGAAACGCTTGGGTTTTGTAGTCTTTTCGGTCGCGTGAGCGCAGGTAGCGCGCGGGCCTTCGGCTGTATTCGAGGAGAATCCATCCATCACACGCCAGATTAAGTCTTTGAGGCAGCTAAGCACACATCCAGAGTCCATTTCCAACTAGTCATTTTCGAGGCCATTAAGCACTTGAGGCATTTAGTGCCAAATCTGATCTTTGCCGCGAGATCAGAGCGTTATTAGGCGGCGAACGCAGCGCGTGCAGTTTGTTTTGGAGAAGCAGAGTCTCTGAAATGTTGCTGCTTTTCTGTAGGAACGTGTCATCAGCGCTGCTGCAATTAATCTGATTTAGCTCATTGGAACCGGAGGACGCACGTTGCGCGTTTTAACCCAATAAACCAAAGCCTGTTTTGCATGAACCAGTGCAGCTGATAAGCTGTTACTGCGGTGCAGTTTGTTGAATGAATTCTGCGCTGTTTAAAGCAGCCGCTCAGATCAGAAAAGCAGAGGTTTGTCCGCGTGTTCGCTGAACAGCAGAGCCTCTGTTTTCAGTCTGACTGTCGAGCCGAGGCTCCCCGCGTAGCTGCAGTCCGGACTGAGCGCGACGCCTCCAGCCTCCGTAGCCTCCACACAGGAGCCTATACAGCAGAACCCGCAGCAGCGCCAAAGGGTTAGTTCTGCATTTATCTCTTTATATATAATAAAATAGGGCTTATTTTATGCATTACAAAATTCATAGATCTGCCGTACGAGGCGCGTGACATCACCTGTAAACATTCAGAGCACTGTTTTTATTTTTAAATAGTAGATAAGCATGCTAGAATATTGACTATATTGACTGATCATCCAATAAAAGGCATACCAAACAAACAACAATAAAATAAAATAAAAGCAATAATAATGTAAAAATAAATGAATAAGTTCGACATTAAGAAGAAAGAAGGAAACGAAAAAGAAAGAAAAATATTAGTAAGCATAATCTCGCTCATCACTGTAAAGAACAAAAACAGCAAAATTGGCCTAAATACATGAGATTGAATTATGCAAATAACGTTAAATAATAATAGTAATAATAATAATAATAATAATAATAATAACAAAAGCAACACAATTGTATTTTATTATTATTATTATTATTATTTATTTTTTATTATTTCCTGCTTTGCCGTTCACGGCTACATCTCTCTTCCACTCCGTTGTGGTTGTTTGAGCAGTTTGGACAATAACTGTCACCGAAAGGCAGTAACTACCATCACCGCCACGGACTTTCTGCTTTATGGGGTGTGTCCTCCTTCGTCCAGGCAAGGTGGCGACCCCCAGGCGCATTTCAAACCGCGATTAGACTGGGGGCGCTCCGCGTGGACCCGATTACAACGTGACTTATCCGGAAAGAATACAATTAAGGGGCTAAATAAAATAATCAGCATTGGACGGCGATTACCGTAATGAGACAGAGCTCTGGTGTGTCACGGAGTAACTAGCCTCCATTATGGCGGGTAATGAGACTTTGGGGGATGAACACGACAACTGTCCTCCAAACGCGTAAAACGCACTCCATTAACGTCGTCTTTGATGGACACATGTTTACCATAGTCACACGCGGATTCAGCTATAGGCCGAGCTGCGCTGCAGATGCATAATTGTAGAATATCCTGAGGCTCAGCCTGCAGCAGTAATGACCAGTTACCTCGAAGTTTAGCTCAGTTAATTTGTGACCCATCGGCGCTGTAATAAGTTTGAGGAAGATGAACGTGAGTTCTGGTAATTTTGCTATCAAAGTCACTTTGATTCCAAAACCTTGAGGGATTATTTGAGGCCAGATTGCTCTGATTTTTAAGCATCAATCTCACAAGCTGCACTGTCAGAAAAAAGGTTCTGTGCAGGGAATTTTTTGTTCATCAAGGTACAAACAATGTAAATGTACCCTCATAGGTACAATAGTGGTTTTAAGGTCCAACTGTGTACTTTAAATACATTTTCCCAGTATATATTTGTGCCTTTTCATAACCCAATGTTTCAAAACAGAAGAAAAAATAAAATGGCTGGTGGCGAGATGGGGTATGGTATAGTTATTACAACTTAAACATCATTGCAATTGAATATGATACAATTTATGTTCCTAAACTAAATGTAACCCCAGTGGGTTTAGCCTTTTCACATTTTAGTTTATTTCTTTTAATTTTCCTGCAGCTCAAAATTTGTATTTTCAAAAAATATAGAAAAGCATTACCCCAGACTTCTGAAGATATCATTATGCAACATTATGAGGCAGGAAACTATTTCTTTGTGACAAAAATATACTTTTTCCAAGAGTAGGTGAGAGTAAAATGTGCGGCCAAAGCCCAGCGCAGTAACCTACATAGCCCACATCTACCATCATTTATTCCAGAGAGGAGGATCAATGGCTTGAAAGAAGGGAGGACTTGGGTCAGTGGTCATTCTGAGTTGTTCTAAATTAGGAACATGTGCTGGTAATTATTAAATTCCAGCATAATCACACTGCTAATGCAATTTAATGCATCAGCAAATGAGTACTGAAAATAATTAGTTTCACTGACCTTGTACATTGAAAGGCTATAGCGAACCAGAAAGCTTAAATGAGTCAGACCACTCCCCTCCCATACAAAAACTGCTGCTCATTCAGCCATGTGCCTTTCATAGGCCAACAATAAAAAGTAACAATGCAAGTAGTTTACTGCCTTGACAATTGTTTTGTTTACCTTCATTAGGCTACTTTCTGCAAGCAAAAGTGAACAGAACATGGTACAGGTCAGGCTTTCCAGAAGAAAAAACAAGAATCTATTTCTGATGACATCATATATGCCAATAACAACTAGCCAGACTCTTCATGTAGCACTAATGAAGTCTATGATCCAGTGTCTAAGATCAAGCTTGAGTGAGAAAACACCTAAATCTGCTATTCTGAACAAGTATCTTAATGTAGGGTGGACTAAGGCATTATGGGACATATGTTAAGCAGAGTGTTAAGCAACAGGGAACATGCATGTCATAAACCCTGAATGACATTCAGTTAGCCTATTTGCTGCACTTCCTTCTGCTTGTATAGAAAGAATATGCTAGTTAGCATCAGCTGGTGTTGATAATTCTGATAAAGAGCTTCTTCTGGCACTTCAGGGCCCACGATTCCTGAATCCACCCTACACTTGAAGACAGCTCAGTGCCGTGATGAGCTAGGCTACACTTGGAGTGCTTTGACTCTGGTTTATTTTGACAGGACCCAATGGAAGTGTCATCTAAGAGGGACAGAGATGCACTCGACTAGGCCCTCATCTCCACGGTAGGCTATCCACACTGATCTCCACTGCCATCGTGTAGCTGATGTCTCAACAGCACCGTTATTTGCTCAGTGATAACACTATCACGTGTTTGATTCTCGAGCTGCTAACTGATGCCATAAATCTGACAATTTACAGCCTTGCTCATTATCCCGCAGGCCGTGACGTTTCAACTCCTTTCTGCTCGTTCCACTCATTTAATGTCTATTTCTCTGCTGCCTGTCCACAAAAACACGCGGAGCTGGCCCTTCCAAGATTAATTGATCGTCGATTTAGCTCTAATTCGGACCAAGTCAGGTGGTAAATGGGCTGCTTTTACTTGATTGTTGGTGAAATTTGTGCAAGTTGCGCTGATACATTTTGATTATTTATCAATTACGCCCAAATGAGCTAAATCTATTGAATAAATTCCAGCCTGATTGCCATGATAGAGCTCGAAAATATCGCTATTGATAATGATCCCGTGCTAACAGTCTCTTTCCGGCTTTCCCAGCTTGTCGCGATGACAGCTGGGAATTCATTTTTCATGCAAGCCACCATTAATCAGTTGCATTTATGGGGCACATCCACAGGCATGTGTGTTCTTTGCTCAGAGAGCCTGAAATAGTTTGTCATATTTTTTGTGTCAGTTACTTGGAGTTTCGATGCGCCTCCATCATGGTTTGGACTGTACAAAATGAACATGAGTCCTGGATACATTCACTTCCGCCTTCCAGCTCAGAGGAGCTGACTGCAGAGGAATCTAGACTAGCTTGGAAAGAGACGGCGTTTGTCCCCGTCGTGCAGTCCTCCATCTCCATATGATGAAGCTCTGATGAGTAGACCTTACTGCCGAGGTTTATTTCATTTAGGCCTATTAGGAAATCAGCTTGAGGGAAAATCGGCCTAGACGAGGCTTCTGTCTTATTTCCGTGCCTGACAATGAAAACGACTGGGGGGTTTAAAGATACAATAACACTGTTGAACGTTTCAGAAGAGGAAGAACTAAAGACCACACCGTTTTCATTCTCTGCGCTGTATCCCTTCTGTGCCATCAATTAGGAACCCAGCTATCAGCCCAGGAACCAAATATGCAAGCTTACAATCTCAGCTAGTTTGAGAATGTTAGTCCATATCAACATACAGCTGATTACACTGAA